CACTTTATTACCTTTCACCGCGCTCCCCCATCCGTGAAACTGTCGTCATTTTTCAGCCCCCGCGAGAGCCTTCTTAGAGGCCCCCAGAGGCTCCAGGAGGGCCCATGGCGGCCTCGGGAGTGCCTAGGAGACCTCCGGAGGGCCCCAGGAGGACCCACTCTGCACCGCGCCCCCCTTCTCAACGGAAAGGCCCCCATGCGTGAAATTGTTTTCATCATTCCGCCCCCGCGAGAGAGTTCTTAGAGGGCCCACGGAGGCTCCAGGAGGGCCCATGGCGGCCCCGGGAGAGCCCACGTGATCTCAAGAGCCCCCCCGAGGACTCACTTTGAATTACACTCAGGGGGCTCCAGAGGGCCCAGAAGGCTCCAAGAAGCCCCAAGAGGCCCCGAAGAGCCCAAACAGGCCACAGGACCCCCAGCACGCTCTAGGAGAGCCACGGCGACACCAAGAGGCTCCAGGACGGGCGTCATTCCCTCTCCTCCTCCTGCTCGTCGTCGTCATCCTTCTCCCCATCCGTCCTGCTTCAAATCCTTCCTCCCCCTCTTCCTCCTCCTTCTCCTCCTCTTTTTCCTCTTCCTCCGCCTCCTCCTCTTCCTCCTCCTCCTCCTCCTCCTCCTCCTCCTACCTCATCCGTAGCCTCGATGGCTCCGATAGCGCCGTGCGCGAGATCCGCCTCCTCCCCATTCGTCCTCCTCCCTCCTCCCCACCTTCCCTCCTCCCTCCTCCTCCTCCCCTCTCTCGGGAGCGTCACAAAGAGGCCCTCCGAGGAGACTTTTACGACAACAAGGGCGCTGACCCGATGAACAGACACCACGTCGGGGCTCTGGGAACGGAGTCGAAGACGAAACCTCGAATAACTTAGCCTTCGATGTTCGGGGCATTTTTCTGACCACCTGCGAGCCTTGTGGAAACTTCCGAGAGCCTCAGGGGTGGACGTCTGGCGCAAAAACACGAGTGGAGGAGGAGGCAACACGACGCTTGGTTTCTACCCCCGTGAGGGGCGTTACAGGGTACTCAACAAGTACATCAGACATTGCCAAACATAGTCGAAAAAACGTCCCCAGACTATTTTTGACTATTTTTGAATAGATCCCCCCTGTAGAGGGACACGCCCGACTTCAGTCTGGGGACACGTCCGCCTGGGGATCGGCGTCGCCCCCCAGGCCTGCTTCGGAGGGCCGAGGCTCGAGGCCCGCTGGGCGTTGGTATCGCCTGGCCCCTTCTGGGGCCTCCGGATGACCCCCTGGAGTCCAGGGGCCCCCAGGGGCCTCTGGGGCCCACCGGGCACCCCCACATCCAGAGCCTTGCACAAGACGTCGGGACGTGCTTCTCAGCAGGCTAAGGCCGTGGGCCACGGGGACGTTTCTGGGCCCCATGGGGCCGTCAGGCACCATGTTGCTTTTACGGTCGACCCGGACGACTAATATATCGATCCGCGATGAAAAACTGGCCCGGGGAAGGGGTCGAGAGCTCTGTTGCCCGCGTTGACATAGTGCAAGACGTCGGGAGTTTGGAAACACACGAGACGAAGGCAGGACGGTGGCAAAACCTGGACGAGGTAAACCAGGAATGTCTGAGAACCAGCGGGTCTGGTGGGCGTAGCGGGCGCCGCGGCCGGCCCAGAGCGCTCTGCAACGCTCTGAGTGTTCGGGGACGCTGTGGAACAAGGTTTGGGGCGGCAAGGAAGTCTGAACTGGTTGGGGCCCCAGAAAATCAGCCAGGAGGGGGGATGAAGCCAAATCCTTTCAACGTCGGCCCCCGCACTCCTCCCAGGGTCCATCTGGTGCAATTTGTCACCACGGATCAATGTTTCAGTGTCCCAGGGCCCGAATAGGGCCCAAAAGAGATCGGGAAAAGGCCAAAAGCTGCCCCGAACCCAGAATCTGGAACCTGCCCGCCGTTCTTGCTGGCCAGGACGAGTGCTTGTTGGCCATCTCCGACCCCCAGATCGAGACATCATCTTCTTCCTGTTAGGCCTGCCCGACTGCATCCCCTCCCTGGTGCTGGTGGCTTTTCCTCGGCCTCGGCCTCCTCGAGGTCTCGTTCGGGCCCCGGGGCCCTCACGAAGCTGCCCGGGACGGGGATGCAGTCCTGGGGAACGGGGTGGAGGGCTCCCCAGAGTCCAGACCCCTTCCCGGGGACCAGCTTCTCATCCTGAGCAGTTTTTTGATGCCCCCCCCCCCAGAGTGTGTCGAAGGCCCCCGGAGTCCGAGAACGGCCGCACGCCTCCCGTCGTGCAGGCTGCCACGGCGCGGAGGAGTGGGGGGCTCGGCCGGCGAAGCACATCGTGGGTGCAACGCTGGGTGCACGATTGGTGCCCCCTGGCGACCGGCGCCGCGATCATCGTGCCCGAGCAGGGAGTAGAACGTTCGCTACATCTTGAGCCGAGGGTGATCCGCCTGTTGTCTAGTCTATCGGCCCCAGGAGCGCTTCGAACGCCCGAGGTCGCAGGCCCCCGCCGCTGTCGGAGAGGCCCACGCCCGCTCCCGGCAGGATCGGGCACTGAGTGCCGTCGAGCGGTGGGAAGCGGAGAAGGCTGCGAGCGCTGGTGCTACAATAGAGGCACAAGCACTTGCAGAAACATACTTTCTCGGAGGTCCGCGCGGATTTCTTGGATCGGCGTTGGAGCCTCCTCCCAGGCGCGCGGAGCGCGCCGCAGACGGCGCTGGATGCGTTGCCAGCGGGTCCCAGCGCCGATCCGAGAAATCCCTGCGGAGCTCGGAAAGTTTATGTTTATGCCGTTTTTCTTCTTCGAGACAAGGCAGGCGCCACGGCAGGGAGGGGAGGGTGGGTAAGGCCATTTCGAGCTTCTCCAATTAGTTTGGGCCTCCGGTGGGGCAGAAGGAGGAGGAGGAGGAGGAGGAGGAGGAGGAGGAGGAGGAAGAGGAGGAGGAGGAGGGGAGGAGGTGGTGGAGGAGGGGGAGGGGGGGCAGGAGGAGGGGGAGGAGGGCAGGAGGGGGGGAGGAGAGGGGCAGGAGAGGGTGGGGGTAAGAGGGATAGGAGGGGCAGAAGGAGGAAACGGATGGGATGGCAGCATAGAGCGAGGAATCATCCGAAAGCGAAGCCAAATTTGCACAGAGACATGAGGCCAAACGCTACCGAGGCCAGCGCCTAGCGAGAAACAACAAGACAAGTTACGCATTCCTACCGTGACCATTCCTAGGAAAGCGAGGCTTTGCGGGGCCAGGGGGGGATACCAAGGCGCACAGCTTGTCAGCGTGTAGAACAGTGACAGTGGCGAAGGGAAGACATGGCAGAGGGAGTAAAGCATGCGTGTGCGTACGTGTATGGCCGCAAGCGGTTTGGGGCGGCTGCGCTGGCACGCCAGGTGTCGCTGTCCCGCCCATCCCTCCCACGCGACCTTCGTATGTAGCAATTTCAATCCTGCGCTCCTGAGGCATTGTGCCAGCACGAAGTTTGGGTGGGGGGGTCCCTATGGCTAGCCTGCTCAGGGGCTGCCCACCCGTCGTGGATAGGAATCGCATCAGCCCCTCGGCGCTAAGGAAAAACGCTACATAGTGCCGTGGATTGCGCCCAGTGTTTGCCACCAGCGTGCCGATCGCGGGCTCGCCTCCTGGCAGGGCTTGGGGGCTCGGACGAGCAGGCCTGACCGAGGGCATCGATTTTTGGCGCCCCCAGGGCCACCCGAGCACCACACCGAGGATAAAGCGAAAACGTCCCTGACCTGAGGACCTTGCGACTGCCGCATTCGAAAAAAACCTCCCACGCTCCTTGGCCCGCAGCAGCAGGGACAGCCTCCTCCTCCTCCTCCTCCTCCTCCTCCTCCTTCCTCTTCCTCCTCCTTCTCCTCCTCCTGCTCCTCCTGCACTCCTCCTCCTTCTCCTCCTCCCCTCCTTCTCCTCCTCCTCCTCCTCCTCCTCCTCCTCCTCCTCCTCCCCCTCCTCCCCCCCTCCTCCTCAGACCTGCTCACGGGGGGGGGGGGGGGGGGGGCGGCGCCCCCCCCACCTGCGCAAAAGGCCTCCCCCCCTGCCCAAACGCACGTGAAAAGCGCTTCTTTACATCAATCAGAAGAAACCTATGTGCACCAGAAGGGACGGCACTGGAGTGATGCAGGCGGGGTCGACGATGAGGAGGAGGACGAGGACGAGAACGAGGACGAGGAGGAGGAGGAGGAGGAGGAGGAGGAGGAGGAGGAGGTGGAGGAGGAGGAGGAGGAGGAGGCAACTTGGGGAAGGAGAGGAGAAATGAGCGTGTGAAAGCGGGGTGGGGGGATGATGAGAGAGCGAGGGAATCGCGAGAAGGAAGCGAGGCCGGGGAACAGAGAGGGGAGGTGATTGAAGGGGAGAGGATGTCAAGCCCATCCTCCACTCTGTCCCGCGCGATTCCCGCTGCTCCCTCTGCCCGCCTCTGCACTCCTCCTCCTCGTCGACGTCGTCGTGCTCCTCCATTCCCACATTGTCGTGATTGTCTTTTCCCTGTCGTCGTCGTCGCCCTTCCCGTGCTCATCTGCCTTTTCCTGTTCTTGCTCCTTCTCCTTCTCCTCCTGCCCCTGTGTCACCGCTCCCCCCGCGTCCTTCCCCTCCTTCTCCTCTTTGTCCCCGTCTTCCTCGTCCTCGTTGTCCTCATCGTCGTCGGCTTTCTCTTCTTCCTCCTCCTCCTCCTCCTCCTCCTCCTCCTACTCCCTTTGCGCTCTCCCCCTTCCTCTTCTTTTTCCTGCTCTTTCCCTCTCTGCTACCTTTTGGCCGACCATCCAGAGAAGAACTGTGCAGAATAACCGCCAGGAGGAAGATGCGGGATGGGCGATGGAGAGATACGGACGGCTCCCGGCGTGCTGACGTGGGCTCTGTTCTGTCACTGCGTGGATCGGCCAATCTTCAACGGTTGCCGCTGCCTGACAGCGATGATAGTTCAATATTGGCTCATGTCGGATTGCTGGTGGCCTTCAACCTTGACTGCATGCGCTGTCCTCGCCGTCGCGACAACGCGGCCTGGACTGCCATATGCTGACGGTGCGCGGCTGGTCGGAGTGCCCCCGCGGCCTTCTTGCAACTCTCGCTCAACAGGGTCCGCATAACCGACACGGGGAGCCAATTCCTAGTCCTGCGGTGAGGGGGGACGGTCGTCTGGAGGCGGCCCAAGGGGGGAGGGGATGATGAAGACGTAAGAGGAGTACCAAACAGCTGACGACTTGATTATCTAAGCAAGTTTTTTGTAAGGGTACTACATACAATGTCTCAACAAATGGATACGGGGATCGCCTTGCCTGGAGCCGGTGGGGCGCAATTGTCTCCCCCGTTGTCTCCCGCTGTCTCCGTATCCCTATCCCGATCCCGCGCACTCGTTCCTTATCCATATCCCTTTGAATCCCCATCCTATATCCCTATCCCCATTCCTA